TAATCACTATAAAACAATCAAATATGTTAAAAAAGAAAAACAAAAAAAAAACATCCACAAATTAAGCAAAAATGAAAGACAAGAATACAAAAAAATTACTATAGCACAATAACACAATGGCGGGACGTAATCAGTAAATTATATGCCTTTGGTGGGTTTTTTTTCAGAACTGCTGTCATCATAACTTTTGCTACAAAGAACACAGACACTTAATAAAATATTCAATTGAAAAATAGCAAATGATCCAAACTATCAGTTAAAATTACCGTCTTTGTACTGAAATTATACTTTGATTAAAAGTCGACAATACAAATGTCGTGAAATGCAAAACACTTTCATCAGCTGCATTTCGTATTTTTTTGCAGATCTATATCGCATATTAGCAGCTGTATTGGTTTTGATATTGTCATTTACATGCTGTAAGTACTTTAAAATATATCAATGGGTTTAGAAGAAGTCTATGAGAAACTATTCAAAAGGTCTACACCAAAAAAGGAAAATGTTCAATGCTTAGAAGGATTTTTGAAATATTATTTATGGGTATATGGTGAATGCCTAGAAGTTTTTTTTTTAATTCAGCAATAACATTATTCAACCAATGAATTAAAGATCGTTTGTAAAGTCATGTGAAACTTCAAATTTAAAAAAAAAAAGTTGAATATGTTTTATATACTTGAATGGCTATAACACAAGTGTACATGAACTTATTAGTGAAAACAAGAATGTGTCCATAGTACAAGGATGCCCCACTCGCACTATCATTTTCTATGTTCAGTGGACCTTGAAATTGGGGTCAAAACTCTGATTTGGCATTAGAACTAGACAGATCATATCACGAGGAACATGTGTACTAAGTTTCAAGTTGATTGGACTTCAACTTCATCAAAAACTACCTTGACCAAAAACTTTATCCTGAAGCGGGACAGACGGACGAACGGACGGACGAACGAACGAACGAAGAGACTCACAGAACGAAAAACATAATGCCCCTAGGTGGGGCATAAAAATATCCTTTATACTATAAAAATTTAAATAAATGTACTGCTATTGAATTATTTTTTGTCTTTCAATATACTAATTCGCCGATAGTTTTCCGTATGCAGTGACCTTATCTACGAGACCTCTCGTTAGGACTTTGTCCACCGCATAGCGCAAGTGCGAGTGGAAAATCGTGAAAAAAGAATGTAAACAAACGTGCACTGGAAGGTAAATAGAAATAACTGATTCCTAAAGAGAACAAATTAAATACACCACACCAATTCACAACTATTAAGGAAAAGTTTAATTAAATGGGAATGCATGGACAATTTACCTTCTGCATCCATCTTTACTTCAGAAGCTAAGGAAATAATTCTAGCCTTGCAGTTTATTGCTTCATCAGACACACTTTTTGTCCTGAAACAAGTATCATATGACGTTTGCCCAGTATCTTCGTATGATGTTTTATAATAGCAGTGCACACTTTGTTAAGTGTTCATTGAGTCTGTTTCCTAGTCTGTCATTTTCAAAATTACCCACACTCTGTTACCTTTATCATCAACGGAGAGTATATGAATGCAGAAGCCATCTGGAATACTGAAATATTGCAATGAATACTTAGCCACGAACGCATGAATTATCTGGACCAACAGGAATATCAGTCATTAAATGACAGAAATTGTGACAATGCCTTTTGACAGATCATAATCCGTGGCCACTAAAGTTGTATTAACTGAAACGATCATCTTTTTTACTGACCCCCCCCCCCCCCCCTCCCCCCCAAAAAAAACAACAAAAAACAAAAACACACACACACACACAAAAAAAAAAACAGTGCACCCCGGATTCTCAAATAAAACTTTAAATTTGACAAATTTAATGCTGCTTGACAAAAAATAAAGTTATTTGGTGTTTATTGAAATCGAACGTTAAAATAGCACTGAGATATCATTTGGACATTTTCAGTAGTTTTTCTGATCTCTTATAAATAAATATGCAGACAATTTTGATGTGTACTTTCAAATATGCTAGATAATTCACATTTGTTACTTAGTCTTCCAGCATTGACACAGATGACGCATAGTTGCTTTTTAACCTGTGTTATATGAAAGATAAATTAGATCGTATTGGCAAAATAGTTCGGCACTACAAACTGCTTTCCACAGTGTCAACCATTTACCAAATGTATTAAAACAATTCGAATTATTTGTGTGTAAAGGACCTTTTGATCTTGTCCTCTCTTCGGCTATGAGTTTTGAAACTCACCCTGGTAAATTCCGCCATGCCCAGGTTAAATTGTGCTTATTTATAATTATTCACGTCATGGACAGATCAAAACTCAGGTTAGGTCCTCCTGATAATAGACTGTTAGTCTTCGATAGTACCATCAGCTCAATGTTTCGGTATTGACGTGATTTGTCAAATACATTTCAGATATCAAAAAGTTCAGTATTATGTGTAAAACTGTAAAATACAGTAAAATATATGTTTTGACTGAATTTAAAAATAAAAGAACGATTGACTATCAACAAACAGATTTAAATGGAAGAAGAATAACGGAATACAAACATAACATGTTTTTCTGTTACTCTTCATAACCATGTGTGTTACTGCATCTGTACTGTAATAATATAATGGTTTGACCTTGCCGTTGTTCACTTTTCGACTTACGTACTTTTCGGAATTTCTATTCTAAACATAAATATTCTCATTTTTTTCAGTCGTTGTTTGGATAATTGTTCAAAGATTAATCCGGGGTTGGATTAAAACTCGTAGTAGTAAGTTCGTAAAATATATAGACAAAAACAAAACGCTATCCCTATTATCGTGACAATGAGTCTGGTATTTTCTTTTACTAATGTTCTCTGTCGCTGATTGAATATATATCTGACAGTTCAAGTTTTACACGATAGACACATTAGTTTTCAAAAGCTGTACAATATATCGTCAAAATCATTTTCGACAATTAGTCTAAAATTGGGAATAGAAATGGGGAATGTGTCAAAAAGAGAACAACCCGACAAAAGAGCAGAAAACAGCCCACGGCCACCAATGGGTCTTTAACACAACGAGAAAATCTCGCACCGTGAGGCGGGTTTCAGCTGGTTCCTAAACAAAGATGTATATTTCTACTGTTTTTTGTTCATATTTAAGACTCGCAACTGTATGAAATAAAATTAAGTACTATAGTTTCAAGATAATAGGCAAAAATGCCAAACAATTGGTAGAAATTGTCATTTAATGGTAATTACTCCTATAAGGAGTGGTTTGTCGATCTTGGTAAGGTAGAAAGGCAAACTATGTAAATTCCAATTTGATATTATAAAAATTAACTTGTACATGCGTATATTTTGATGAATGACTATTGTGTTTACTGCCTCACTTTATTTTGTTATATATATTAATTTGTTTGTTATTATTTTTGGTGTCTTGAGTAATAAAAACTTTAAAATCGACTTATTGCAGTCAATTATATACTGTTCAGTAGCTTTTCGGACCATTCAGTATGATGTTGATATGTACATGCAATTTAAAGCTACTGAACATATTTTTATCTGCAAGTGAACTGTCTGTACTTTACCGCAGTGGATAAGTCTGAAAATGACTTAAAAATATAAAATTCAGTCTTTGCAGAGCTGTTCACATAAAAATCAGAGTTTCAGATCAAAATCAATACTAGTGTCCTGAAAAATGTGAACTTCAAAATTGGTTTTGTTAACATATGTAGTGATCTTTTCTCCTTTCTCTGAATAATGCTATATTTACAAATCTGCTATCACGTGATGAATTATCACTCTTTATACGATTGTATGCTTGTTTCACGGTACATGCAGGAACCGATGATCCTTAAGGAGAATGTGTGTTTGTCCTATCATAATTTTTTTTATTGAACACGACGTTGGTGGTATTTTTATACTAATTATATGGCATTAACCCTTTAGATCATTTTCTTCTTTCTTTGAATAACTACAAGATTGCCAGGTAGTTCGATGACATTTTTTGGAAAGGTGAGCTTTTGCCTTCTTGGCGTCCGTCGTCGTCCGACGTCGTCGTCCATCAGGTGTAAACTATTTCAAACATCTTCTTCTCCGAAACTACTTAACCAATTCCAACCAACCTTAAGCCAAATGATCCTTAGGGTATCTAGAATAAAGTTTGTGTTTTTTTTTTCTATTTCGTCAAAAAACATGGCCGCCATGGCTAAAAAATAGAACATGGGGGTAAAATACAGTTTTTGGCTTATATCTCAAAAACTAAAGCATTTAGAGCAAATATGATTGGGGGGTAAAAATGTTCATTAGGTCAAGTTCTATCTACCTGAAATGAACCAGATGAACCTAACAACTCATTTTTGGGTTGCTGCCACTAAATTGGCAATTTTAAGGATATTTTGCAGTTTTTGGTTATTATCTTGAATATAAGTATAAATAAAGATAAACGGCAAACATCAAAAATGTTCAGCAAAGTAAGATCTACAAATAAGTTTAATGACCAACATTTTCAATTGACCCCTTAAGGAGTTATTGCCCTTTAAAGACAATTTTACACAATTTGTTTATCATGTTTTCTAACATTAAAAAATATTCCCCTCTGAAACTACTGAACCAAATTAAACCAAACTGGAGCTGAATGATTTTTAGGTTATCTAGAATAAAGTTTATGTTTTATTTTTTGTTTCCTCAGAAAAACATGGCCGTCATTGCTAAAAATAGAACATAGGGTAAAATGCAGTTTGACTTATATCTCCAAAACTAAAACATTTAGAGCAAATCAGACAAGAAGTTAAAGTATTCATTAGGTCAAGGTCTACCTTCCCTGAAATTATCAGTCAAATCGGGTATCTGACTTTTTAGTTATTGCCCCTGAATTGATGATTTTGAATATTAATATAGATAAAGATAAACTGTAAACAGCAAAAATGTTCAGCAAAGTAAAATCTACAAATAAATTTTATATGACCAAAATTGTCAGTTGACCCCTTAAGGAGTTATTGCCCTTTAAAGACAATTTTTCACAAGTTGTTCATCTAGTTTGCTTACTTTAAAAAATCTTCTCCTTTGAAACTGCTGAATCAATTTCAGCAAACTTGGGCTGAATGAGTTTCAGAGTATCTAGTAAACAATTTGTATTTTATTTCCTTGTACGTCAAGAACTTAGCCACTATGGCTAAAATGGAACATAGGGGTAAATGCATGTTTTTGCTTTTGAAGAAAATATGACCGATACAAAGAACATTTTAATGGCATTTTTAAGCCACTCATTAATATATATTGAAAAGCAAAAATAATCATTGATGAAAGATTTAAGCAAAACATTACAGGTGAGCGATTCAGGCTCTTGAGAGCCTCTTGTTATTTATCTATTTACAGCTCCTAGGAAACTTGACATAGTTAAATGCACTGATTGTTCAATAAACATTGAATGGTTTAGTGATGTCCCAGACGAGTGCCTATCATATGAGCTTGATCATCGACCTAAAGGAACAAATGACTGGTCTACCGGAACATTCCTTTCTGAAGAAGTATTGGAAGCGGAAGATGGACGACGCATGTACACACTTCAAAATCTGCTACCTGAAACATATTATGAATTAAAAATGCGTTCTGTTTATAAAGATGCCAAAAGCCATTATTCGGAGTCTATGACCAAGCAGACACTTAAACTAGGTAGGAAAAGATTTGGATTTTATTTTTCAATTAAATCGTCGTTTAACATGAACGACAAGGTTTTTTTTATTTGTTTACACAAACTACAATAACCGGTTGATAACGGAATAAGCCATTGAAAATTTACCGAATACAGGTATAGAAATAGAGAGAATCATGAAATACCCGCAGCGAATGAAAACAAACGGCATCTGATTGTGCATATTTTATTAACCTTCATTAACGATCACCGGGAGCGTCTAGGTATGTCAGTTGTTGAGAGGGTTAATCTTTAAAGATCCTAATGTTGCAAAGCACCTGTCCTATCTCCATGACAAATATGTTCTTGTCCCCGCAGATAAAGCACCAAACAACATAATGTTTGTTTGTAAATCACATTATATAAACTGCTTGATAAATAAATAAGGTATTGTCAATTCACTTTGAAACTCAACATCCACGACACTAACCAAGGAGGAAATACTGGATAATCATAGGTCTGTTCTATGTTCCTTTGGAATTTCAACAAAAGATGATGAACTGGATCTTCCGTCACTGTATTGGATACCCAAACTACATAAGTGTCCATACAAACAACGTTATATTGCTGGATCTTCAAAGTACTCCACGAAACCTCTATCTAAATTATTAACATCAATTTTATCAGCTGGGCTTCAAAGTTATTGTGAAAGTACCAATAAGAGAGGAGGCGTGAATAGGATGTGGATAAAGATCTTTTTAAGTATATACAATCTAAGTCTCTTTCATCTTGCAGCAAAAGAATTTAAACATTTGACTTGTACACTTTACACAAGTATTACCAATTCCAAACTTGAAAGAGTTGGTCCTGCAATTTTTCATAAAAAAATGGCCAACGTAAATACAAGAATCTTGTCTTAGGGAGGGATAAATCGTACATTGTAAAAAATAACTATGTTTCAAACAAAAAAATCTCTGAAACTGACATTATCAGAATGCTTGATTTCTTGATTGACAACATATTTGTTCCGTTTGGAGGACGAGCTTTTCAACAAACAATCGTCATTCCCTTAGAAACTAACTGTGCTGCTCATCTTGCCGACTTATTCCTTTATTCATATGAGGCTGTGTTCATACAGGAACTTCTAAAGAAAAAGAAAAACAAGCAGTATCCTTCAAATCTACTTTAACTTTACTTTCCGCTATAAAGATGATGTTCTGTCACTAAATTACTCAAAATTTGGTGACTATGTTGAACGCATCTATCCCATCGAAGTTGATACGATATTCAAGGGCTTGTATTTCCTATCATGCTTTCCTTGATAAAGGGTTGTTGCTCACAAAAAAGCTATAAAACCAAGACTTCCAAGCGGTGAAGATGAAATCATCCCTTCGTAAATTTTACAGAAGCCATCATGAGTTGGTTGACTGTTATGGAGTACTTGTTTCACAGATGATAGCGGTTATGTTCCAATAACTACAATCCCGTCCTTCTTTCCCCTAATGTGATCTACCGAATTAGACTTATCACCGGGTTTGTACTAACAGGAGCAACACGACGGGTGCACTTTGTGGTGCAGGATCTGCCTCCCCTTCCGGATCACCTGCGATCACCCTCAGTTTTTGATTGGGTTTGTGTTGCTCAGTCCTTAGTCTTCTATGTTGTGTTTTTGTACTGCTGTTTTAATCTGTCAGTTTTTATCTTTTAGCAATGGCGTTGTCACTTTATTTTTGACTGATGAGTTTGAATGGTATCTTCCGCTTTTCTTTCAAGGGGTATCAGCAAATTGAAAGGAAAGATAGATTAGTGAAGAGCACTGGTCAACTAACAAAACTGACAGAGATTAAAACTTTTTTTACCAATTGCTCTTACCCTAACATATCTCCTGAAATTAGTAACCTGAAAACAGTTATACATTCTAACCTTTTACTTATCATTCGATACTTGTGATGCACAACGAGACGCACAATTCGGATATAAAAAAATGAATGCAGAAATGAAAACAGTCTCTTTTTAAAGAAAAATACTGTTTTCATACCATCTGGAATACGATAATACACCGAATACCATACAAAACCTTATAGAGTCATAGAACAATTATCGTACACTAAATACCACAGACCATTTGTGAAGTTGTCTCCCTTTGATCTATAGAAAATGGTTAATAAGACAAAAATACATGTTTGAACTTAAAGGACTCCTAGTATAAAACATGATGTAAAATTTTACAATAACTGTCCGTGTGGTCTTTTTAATCAAAATGATTGAAAATAATGTATTTTGCATTTGAAAATCCATATTATGTCGTTCAATGTTGCCGAATAAGCGTTCTTTAACTGTAATAATTTCGAGACTTTCGTGTAAAGTAATGTTTGTATAAAGTAGCTACGAAAAAAAGAAAATTATTCAAAAAGTAAAATAACAAAAATACCGAACTCCCAGGAAAATTCAAAACGGAAATTCCCTAATAAAATGACAAAATCAAAGGCTCAAACACATCAAACCAATGGATAACAACTGCCATATTCCTGACTTGGTACAGGCATTCTCTTATGTAGAAACAAACAAGTACAACTAATGTATCAATGTTGCTAAACCCAAGATTACCGCTCTAAGATCAAATTTGACAGGGGAAAGAAGTTCGACCTCTATTTTCCTATTGTAACATCACCGAATACAGCTATAAGTAATATTAGAATAAACCTGACATATTTACCAATCTACCCTCTGGTGATGATTTATAACTTTTTATACGATGTTAAGTTTGTTTCACTATGCGTGCAGGAACCGATGATCCTTAAGGAGAATGTGTGTTTGTCCTGTCATAATTTTTCATTGACACACGACATTGTCGGTGTTTTTCGACTATTTGTATAGCATTAATCCTTTTAGATCATTCTTTCCTTTCTCGGAATAATTACAATATCTCCAGGTAGTTTGGTGACATTTTTTATTTACCTATTTACAGCTCCTACAGAATTTTACATAGTTGAATGCACTGATTGTTCAATAACCATTGAATGGTTTATTGATGTCTCGGACAAGTGCCTATCGTATGAGCTTGATCATCGACCCCAAGGGAAATTTGCCTGGTCATAAAGATGCCAAAAGCCATTATTCGGAGTCTTTGACCAGACAGACACTGAAACTAGGTAGCCATTTTTTTTTACATTTTTCCAATTCAGATATGCCAGTTGTTCCCCCTACTTCGGCTAATCATTTAGAACACTTTACATTGTACCGCATACTGTTTTTACGTATTTTTGGTTTCTGTGCTCTCAAACGTGTCATATTTTTTCCCCACATATTTAGTATCGAACAACATTTTTTTTTAGTAAATCACACAACATACTGCTGGATAACGGAATTTGTTACTAGTATTGAAAATTCACACTAATACAGAAATAGAGAATCATGAAATAGCAGCTTCGAATGAAAACAAACTGCATCTGATTTTGCATATTTTACGGACCTTCATGCCCAAGGAGCGCCTGGGTATGTCGGTTGGTGATAATGTTTAAGGAGTATGACTTTAATGAAATAAAAGCTAGTTTGGTGAAAAGCACTCCTGACAAGATTGACACTTTTATTAGCAATCACCCTAACCCCAACGTAAACAACATGACAAGGTAATACAATCTCATATTTACTTTTATTTCGATGACTGAGACACACAGGTACGTCACCATAGCTGAAATTGTGAGTCGACATCGTATAGTAGTTACTGACCTTGAAAAACGATTGTTCACAAAAAAAAACCCATAGAAACTACATGTATAGTAGATAGAGAGATACTTTAGTAGCAAAAAAACGATCAGCAAACAAGATAGCATTGTTTAAATCATTAGCTGACTACTAATAGGAGTAATTTCTCTGCAAGTAACTGTAAAAAGCAAATATGATCATAAAAAAATGATCACAATCCCTCAGTGATGCTCGAGACCAAAATATTAAATAGTCAAGACTGTATACAAACGTTGAAGAGCTAATTAAAAAAAAGGCCAGCAGTAAAAACAAACGCTGACATGGAATTAGAGATTGAGAGTGACACGTGTCTTAATTTAAAATCACATTAAACGGTAAACTTCTTTAACGGCAAATTTAAATAAAAAAATATACGTTTTTTCTTCTTTTATGCCAGTACCAAAATACATGCTGCTCAGCTGATTAACCTCGGATTTTTCTTGTTTAGAACAGAATAATATTTCAAAGTAAACACGACATTTATATTTGATATTCATCTCACTTTTGTTCAATTTAAAGTTATACGCCAAATATTGCATCTGTGATCTAATATGCCTACCGCTTCAAATTAGCAGGTGCATTATTTTAGCCTTCTACGCTGTTGCGCAATCCATATTGCACATGAATTTCTGTTGTATCCGTAAACATAAACAAAACCAACACCATCTCAATAAACGTGATTTAATTGGGTTTTGAAGTTAAAAACTTTTTAACACAATGACAATATAGATCTTCTAATTTGAGTTTTCCGATTAGTCTTTTAAAAAGTGCTAGTTGTATTATAAAGTGTTTTCTATGTGATCGTTGAAAATGTGTATTTCGCATTAATTTTAACGTTATTTTTATACATTTCATGCTAGTTTTTAAAAAATGCATGTATTTAATACAGCATATATATTCCAATTCAACCGAACACATATAATTATTGTTGAAAAGTAAGTAAGGGATAATGATTGAAGAAGAACGTAAGAAACAATAATGAATTGCTTCAAATTCTCTGAAATAAGAAAGTTAACGAATAATAATGTCAATCTGTTTGTATGTGTATTTACTTGTATTTTTTTGTTTTATTTTGTAGCTGCTGCTCTACTCCTTTTGGATTTTGCTAAGAAAATCCGATTTTCGATATTTATTTATATTTATTTCAAACATCAAAATCCATATTTAAACTTTTTTCAGTTTTGCCAGAAGCCATAAATCAATTATCAGAGGAAGATAAAATCAGATACAAAAAGCTTATGGACAGTTCCCAAACCGAAAACCGATATTTTGTAAGAATTATGATAGTTGGAAAGGAATCGGCTGGAAAAACATGCTTATTGAGAAGATTATTGAAGGAAAGCATATCTGATGTCTCTAGCACAGATGGCGTTGACATTGTTGTTCGTAGATGTAAAATCAATATAGAAGATGGGAAATGGACCATCGACAAAGGTATAGAAATATTGGTGATAAATAACGAGTTCAATACATTACGTGTGCACTTTAGCATTCCGAATTAACAAGAAAGCCACAAACCTAATACACCTGGATACCGGTATGTTATGTGTGTGTTTGGATTCACTAGTGGCATTATATCGATCTGTCCCTTAAAAGTAATCGGTTCTATACATTTAGCAAGTGTGTCCCTTTTTCTGGTGATAACGTGTACACTAACTATGAATTCGCATGGCGGGTGACGCATGCAATGCAGTAAACGCTTACTCTGACGACACACCCGAGCTCTCGCTCATAACATTTTTATCAGTACTCTAAATACAAATCTTGAGCTAAAAACACCATATCAAGTATTTTGATATTTTGATTTCTGAGTCTGGTGTACGAGAGTCGTACTGGAATGTTTTATGACAGCAATGCCTTTTTTTCTCGCTCGATTAGAGCAGATTTCCCCTAAAATGTTGTTTTAACCTTAATTTATTTTTTTTTAATTTTTTGTGAGCTTCAACTATATTGTAAACACAAATATAGTTTTGTCCAATCAAGTCTGTCGTGGCATCATAACTAATTTTAAACATTTCATGTTACATATAAACATTGACTATGTTTGGTACATTATATTTGATTGTATTTTACATTGAAGATACATTGTTCTTATTTATCTTTCAAACCCAAACTCCTGAATTGTAGCATACACTGTTGAACATTATCTGCCAATTGCGAATAGTTTATTCAACAGACATTCGGCTTAAGGTTGCGGACACCTTGATCAAATTTGTAATAAACTAAATTAACATTAACAATTAACAATTAGGATGTTTTAAAGTTAATTGTAAGATCAAACAAGCATTTGGCTTAAGATTGCAGACACCTTGATCAGATGTATAATAAGATAACATAATCATTTACAATTTTTCTAAAGTTCTTAACTTACAAATGACAACGATCTTGGAAGCATGGTTTGAGGACCGCGATTATTTCATGTTATATGCTGAAATTTCATTTATCTTCCTGAGGAAACTGCGTGTTTACCTACACAAAAATACAATAATTTCTTTGATTTTTATAATTAAAATAACAATCATTTTGCTCGATTATTATACCTCTTGTTTTGCGAAAATAAGACGAAAATAAATGAAAGTAAAAGTATGCATTCTTAACAGAAAACCAGTCTCATTGAAGTATTAAGCCCCCGTTAAGGGTTGGAGTTAATTCTAAGGTATCCAAAAGAGGGACGAACGATACCAGAGGGACAGTCAAACTCATAGATCGAAAACAAACTGACAACGCCATGGCCAAAAATAAAAAGACAAACAGACAAATAATAGTACAGATGACACAACATAGAAAACCAAAGACTAAGACTAAGACTAAGTTGTACTTGAAAGTTGAAACACTTACACATGTAAGTTATTACATTAACTATGTGTGGCTTGTCAAATAGTAATAAAATAATAAAGATAACATCATTCATGTTTGTCTTCTAGATATTGATGATGATAAAGAAGACCGAATAAAGAGAGCACTTACTCCAAATGATAATTCAAAAATTACAACAGAGGATTATAGAGAGAAGGATTTGGCTGAATTAGAAAAAATACAAAAAACTGGTAGCAATGCACTAGATAAAATGTCAAAAATCGAAAATAAATTATCCCCGGTAGACATTACACATGATGTATCTGGTCATAAGAAAGACATTACGGAAATGTGCGTAGATGCGACAAAGGGAGACACTATAACGCATCATGAGGAACTATCTGACAAAGAAAATATTGACGAAAATATAGATGATAATGGGCCTTCGTTATTGGTTATGCCTGAGGATTTGATGTCTCATGTGCTAACTTACTCAGCTACAAATACTTCATCGAACCTTTATGCATTATGTGAATTATGGGACTTTGCAGGACAAAAGGAATTTTATGCTACACATCAAGCATTTTTGACAAGTAATGCGGTATACCTTGTTGTTGCAGATATGAATAGCGATATCAGCAAACAAAGCACTAGTCAGTGTTTTGCTAATTTTCAGGATGTTGGAGGTAGTGTGCTTAGAATTATCAAAGGGCGGGTATGCAGAACACTTTAATACAACGGATGTTTACGATATCATTTATCAAGGGGGGATACCTGATTGATAACGGATGCAGATGTCATCCTTTTTCGGATTTTCAGTTTTTTTTTTTGTATTAATCAGTGTATACATTAATATCACCATACGACCATCCATGTTATTGTTACTTCAGATAACATTGACTTCTGACAAAAATGCGAAATCTAATTAATGTGATTGCAAGCTTTAATGAAGGAGTTAAACTCATCATCTATCTTATAAGTACGCAAGACGCCGATTGGGCTACAAAAGACTCATAAGTGACGCTCGAATCATAAAAGATGAAAAAGTAACATAAAATAGCTGACGAGCAGTGAGGATTCAAAATTCTAAAAGATTTGCCATATACAGCTAAGATAATATAATTATGGGGTAGAAAATCCGAAGTGTTTCGAAAAGTTCAAGGTGAATTATTTTTTAAATTATGAAGTTGAGTTGGCAAATTTGCTACCATAGCTACCATAGTTGCAAATGTTTGAAAGAAATTATGTTCTAGACCGGTGGTTTTAGACATTTTTTAGTGTACGTTTAAATGAAAAAAAATATATCATAATTACTATTCTTATAAGTTAAATTCTTTACACTTCCTTTTCAACAACATGAACAATGTTGATCTGTTTCAGGGTATGTTGATTTTTGGTTTGATTCTATCCATTGTCATCGAACGGTCGACAATCCAGTGACTGAGCACTTTGAACCTCCTATTCTATTAGTTTTTACTGGAAAGGATAAATGTGACAAGGTAATGAAATTTTAAAAATGTGTTTCTCAGTTTTACGTGATATATATATAAAAGACTTGAATTATTAATATCTGTGCATGATCAGAGCGCCATTACAAAATTAAGATGTGGTATGTTTACCAGTTATATAGCTCCGTATAAAAACGAAATGACAATGATGTAAGGATATTTAGTTAACAAACGCATACAATAACATAAGTTGTAAAAGGCTCTCGGATATTAATATTCGAAATACGTGTACTTTAAAAGAGTTAATCAAAGGCTTGAACATCGATTAACTACTGTCGCTATAATCAATTTTCTTTCATTATGAAAAGAAGAAAATGTGGTATGATTGCAAATGAGACTTCTTTCGTAGAGACCAGCTGACATTAATGTGTAGAATAACAGATCACCGTACGGCCTTCAACAATGTGCAGAACGTGTACCGTTTAAGATGCTATAAATATGGTTTGTTTTATAGTTTTCTGGAGATCAATTGATATATTGGAATAAGAATAAATGTCGTACACTGTTAAGAGTTATAAAGTTGAAAACTCTTCATTTTCTGTTAAAGTATTAACCAAGATCATCTTAGATTCCTTTGTTTTTTGCATGTAGGCACAGTTTACAAAAAGAAAAGAGGAGCTTGATAAACAAATAGATGAAGTTTTGGGACACAGAAGCAAATATCATCACTTGCACGAAAAGTTTTATTTGTCAAATACAGAAGATTCTGAGGAAGAATTCTTAACGTTACAAAACGCAATCTTCAAGACTGCCAGAAAAATGGATATTTGGGGTAAAGCTTTTCCGTTAAAATGGATTCTTTTAGAGCAATTGATTGAATTAAATAAAGACAATGGGAAAAATTTTATCACTTTTACTGACATGGTCAATATGGGTAAACATCCTGATATCAATATACTAAAAAAAAAAGATTTGTTGATGTTTCTTAGATTTCAACATAATGTAGGGAATGTTATTTTCTTTGAAAATATTCAGGATTTAATCATACTGAAACCTCAATGGTTGGCTGATGCTTTCCGATGTTTTGTCTCAGATAGAGTTGATAACAGTAGATTGCACCACCTTGACGACTGGATATTGTTCAAGCAATATGGCAAAATAAGTGAATCTTTAATAACAAAACTCTTCAAATCAAAACAAGGAAGTCAGTTTTCAGGACAAAAGGTGAATTTGCATAAAATTATGGAAAAGCTTGACATATTGGTCAGAATTGAAAACTCTCGCTTTTATATGATGCCAAGCAAGATGCCTGCTTCTGCTTTTGAAGATGTATGCAAAAGTGTTAACATTCGAACAGAAGGATGTAAAAGGACTTCGTGGCTGTGTTTAAAATTTGATTTTCTTCCACCTTCTTTCTTCAACCATCTTTCTGCCTGGTTTATCAGACACTACTATCCTAGCAAAGTGGACAGTGCTAGTGGATCATTTGCTTTATACCGCGGAATTTGTATGTTTGACATTGATAGATCTGGTTGTGAAAAGATTCTGGTTACAATGTCGACTGATATAATTGCTCTGCAGGTTGTTTCTTTTTCCAAACAACAAAGAGAAGTCGGAGATACGTGTAGTAATATCTACAATAAAGTGAAAGGGGTAGTTGAAGAAATAAAAGAGAGTTATAGGGTAAAATTATCATTTGGACTCAATTTCAAATGCAGTGATGGCGATTTTTATAAAGATACTTTTGACTATGACACTTTGACAAATAACCAGGAGTGTTTCTGTCCACAGCATAAAACAGTACATTTATCTGAAAAGTTATACGCGCCTTGGATGAAGACTGAGGTATGTTTTTAAAACGGGATATTTGAGAAATGGTGGGATAACCATTTGTATACATCAATCTTCCTATAGAAAAAACAAAAAATAAGATTGATTGGCTTAAAAGGTAATAAATTAAAAACAGGTTTGAAAAAAATAAATGCAGTTTAATATATTGTAAAATATTTTAAATCAAATAAATTATACTAATTCAAGACCTGCTTAATCCCCGTTTAACTAAATAACCACGCCCCTGTTAATCACTTTCATCCTTTTGGTATGACTTGTTTAACTGTCCACGTCGTTGTGTTCATATTCAGATCTCTGAACAGATTTGAAAATATTATCGATTTTCAGTTCAGTAATATTCGTTTAACAAAAATAATGATTAAGTACAAACAACATTACTTGTAGACAAAATCAATTGTATACAAATAACATAGACATAATGCTAAAAGTTAATTTATAATATTCACAATGTTGTCAGCTTTTAATCAAAGGTTTAAATAAGCAATGCCTTGGACAAGTTCGAAAATCAGTGCTGATTAAATATTTAATTATATCCCTTTGGAAATATTAACTATATTGCTCTTAACCCTTCACTTCTATAAGATATTTATAAAATGTTTTAAAGAACAAAGTTTTTTTTTCAGTTATTGCTCTTGGGTACATAAAAATGTGCAACACGGGGACATTGGAGCTATGTTCTTTTATAAAATTTAATTTAACAAATTTATTTACTCTAAAATATCCTCAAAATTTCCACTACTAGTATAGAAGAAAGATATCAATGAAAATGACCGAAATCGGGTGGACAAATACACGACTTAAGAAAAAAAAATGTAAATGTTAACTCTTAAAGTTGTTCGATATACAAAAGATATTTGTCCCTCTGGTATCTTTCGTCCCTCTTTTTGCAATTGGACATAATTTAGCAAACAACTATCATTCAATTTTAAGGAAGCGCGATACTTATAGACAAAACCGGACTATCAAGTTAAATAAGATGAACATTTATACGACAATTCTTACTCAAACACTTAGGTTTATATACACTGTAAACATTACTATTTGGTGATCAATCTATATGAGTATTGAAGACAATATTCAGATAGATAAGGCTGTTCGTGAGTACATTAAAAATCAAGAAAAATTTGTATAGTGAAATATATTGTATTGTCCGAAACTAAATAAAATTGTTACTTTGTATATATGTATTTTATTTTATATTCATGTTCTTAGACCCCAACCGGCTGAAAAATAGATCAAATTGCAACATAAATAGCTATCAAAGGTACCAGACTTATAATTGAATACGCCAGACGCGCGTTTCGTCTACATAAGACTCATCAGTGACGCTCAGAATAAAATAAAAGAGAAAATAAATGACAATAATTGACATTTAAAAGCAAACAAAACTAATAAATGCACCTCTATTTTCTATATCATTCAAACCTCTTTTTTTTTTAATTTTGTGTTTACATTCTAAATTCTTTCTTGTATTATTTATGATTTTTTAAAGTAATAATATGGTTATTTACTCACTGTCGTTATTCTTCAGGTGCAATAAATTAGTTAAAATAAGTACATGACATCAAACATGTTGTTTTGGAAAAATGAGTTATTATAATAATAATATTGAGCAGCTGACTGGAGACATTTTAATTTAATGTAAGGCCTCTTAATCGATATTAGAATTTATTAATATTATTAGAATATTACTTATTTTTTTCTGAGTTGAATTACTTGAAACACACTTCCAGTCAGCTATGAGGTAGTTTGGAAAAATAATTAATGAGTTGTCATTATGTTTGTGTATATGTTGTTTTTTGTGAATGTAATATATTGTACCTTGTTTTATGGCTTACATATACTTTGCCTGTTGCCAAATCCAATTCAATTTATTTGAATAAAATACCTTTAAAGCCTTAAAGACTTATCGAAAACGGCTCTATGATTTTGGCTATACTTTTTTGTCATTTTTGCTTTATAAGCTCGTCATTTTTTTCAATAACCTTTGGATTGTAAAATATTTTGGCCAAGACCATCACTTATTGTCGAAATGCGCATCTGGTGAAGAAATATTGGTACTGTTACACTTAATACACATAAAAAATGAGTACAATACACAGCTTGTTATTTCTAAAAACAAATTACAATGCTCATAGAAAACTAAACTGATATATATAAAAAAAAAAATTATAATCCTCTGTATGTGTTTCACTCCAAGAGTCCAAGACATTCTTAAATTCAAGATAGTACAATTCAACTAAATCTTTAAAACCATAACACAACTTATTGTCATTGAATGTTAGGAAAGTTATTGCTTTATTAAATCCAACCCCTTACCTTCAAATACGCTGTTTATGTGTTAATGCCACATGTATAGCTCTCTTCTCTCACTCCGTTCTAGCCAATATTTAAATGAAGTTTGCGAAATATATACCGATCTCAAGATAAACCAAATACAAAAAATTAAAACGTGTTTGGTTAAGCACCAATCAAAATCAGTTCACAACATCATGTACAAAAACGTATCTTTATAGTCCTATGTAATACAAGTGAATTAATTGTGTGACATTGCTTCCGTAACGCAACTCGCTGTCTTTTAATGTTAGAAATCTGTTATTCCAACATTCCATCCTATTCATTATTCCTTGTGAAACTTGCCCACCCTCTTAGTCCCATATACCATTGTTTGTCTTTTCTGCCATTGCAGTTTGTTTTCGACTTATGAGTTTGAATATCCCTTGGGTATCTTTCACATATCTTTTATCGGTTTAAACAAAATGCTCTCTTCTTTTACCTTTTTCTAGCCGTACTTATGTAAAGTTTGTAAAATATATGCCCATCTTAATGATAATCGCAAGGCATAAAATATGTATGAAATTGTAAGTTAAGCACCAAGTCAAGAACATTTCACATTATACACCAATATATATATATATATACAATATAGTCACGAAAAATATGTTTTTCAAAAATGTAACTAGTTTACTTATACTGGTCCACTAGTTAAGGTCCCACAGCCTTGCATACGAAACACTACAACAGCATCAGACAAATGTTTCCTTTTTCTTGTTTGATTCGATTTATTAAGATAAGGAAATGTCAAAGTTTTTGTTACCTCACCAGGAGAAAGTGGTTTTCATCTTTAATGGTTTTACAAGTTAGACGTGTTAGTTGATGTTGAGGCAAACTAAGGTATCTGGTCTTTTCTATACATAAATTATGGTTACTGATTCTTACTTTTGTTTGATTTATATCTTAGATAAAATCCTTGGTCGATTTTAATGATAGAAAGTGTGTTTTCATTTCATTTAATCTGATTTTATATTTAAGTAATTCTGATTTAAAGTTGCTTGAGATTGTCTTGGTCTCTATTTTTTTTTTAAAACTTTTTTCATATTTTTAACAGCAAACTTTTTTCATAAAAGTGGACCATGTATAAATTCCTTGTGAGGTTCTTACTTATTGTATAACTTTTTTTTTAGCAATAAGTTTGTTTTTAGTTAATCTAATCAAATAAGATGTAATTAGTTTTGTATTGAAAACAACGTAAACAATTTTGCAATCAATCATTGAAGTGTTTCTACATGATATGTTTCTTCATAAAATTTGAATAATATAAAAATCTAGATCCGTAAACTCTTGTTTGTATTCTTTAGGAAAATAATCAACTACTGGTATTTGCAATCAGTCATTTCAGTGCCTCTGCATCAATTGGTTTTCATGAAATGAAATGTGAATAATAGAAGAGTACATATACTGCAACTTTTGTTTGCTTTGAACAAACGTCCAAATTTTTTTCTTATTAATAATTTTATCGTTAATCATTAACCGTGATTGGATATTTGTATTTTTTGTACTTTATGACGTTTTCTTTTCGTAATATATGATGCATATATGTGGAAATATACTAATTATTTTGTTCGCATTATTTCAAACTACCAATATTTTATTTTTTTATTCAAAATCATGGATCGTTCTTTGAAATCAGTCATTTCAAGGCCTCTTTTTTATAAAATGTAAAAAAAAGATACTTACACTCTTGTTTGTGTTGAATAAGACTTCCAAGTATTCATTTATATGAATTGAAATCGTTTGTAATGTGTAGATATGAGTAAATTGTGTCATATACTGTGAAGAAATTTAAGATTATAAATACTTCATTTTCTGTTTTTGTTGATTAAGAGTCTAATAGTTTATTCTTAACT